TATTCTCTGCCTGGAAAACCCCAAAAAGAATCGCTATAAAACATAATTAACTGATTTAATTAACTTGATTGCATATGGTTATTATTATTTATTATAGACATCATTAAATCGCTCTTGGGTTTGTGTAGAGTTACCCCCTGACAGGTCTTTCATGATTCTCGCTCTGTATAGACCGTTATTGTTTTGTTTCATTGAAAGGATATTAAAATGGTTCTTTATTCACTTTTACTATATAGCACATGATTTATTAAATGTGCATTTGTTCTTTCTTCATCAGATGTGTTCTTTCTTAACCAAAGATATTGAATTCTTTTGGTCAATTCATCTCAATTTGGAACATGTTCATTGTTCTGTCCTGTGCCCTTCCAGGTCCATCAGAACTGATCTAGAGTTCATCACTTATTATAATATTATAGTCCTGTCCAAATTGCTCCCTCAGCTGCTGTCAAATGCTAATAACTGGGGAACTAAGACACAACAGGAGCTCTACATTGAACATATAAAACTTGAATTCAAAAGCACAGACAAAAATATGTAAATAAAAATCCTAGATTGTAAACTCATAATGATGCGGGACTTTTAGGTTGCAATTTTGTGGTTGCTGAGTTTGGAGTAAGTGTGTGAACAGATGGCAATATAGCTCCCATTTTGGACAGCTTGTGATACCTCCTGGGTTGAGCTCTTTTCTCATGACCAGACAACGTACAAGAAATCGCAAACCATCCTGTTCCTGCTCTGGGTCCAATTCAGAGCTTTTTGGTCCAGCAGCAACCCCACCCCACCCCGTTTTTGGAGCTGTGCTGGAGTGATCAAGACTGGACAGCATGGGCACAGAAAAGAGACTGCTTCCAGTGAAGCAACTCCTTCCGTGGCAAACCTATATCCGTCTGATTGCACTCCGAGTGCCGCTGAACCCAAGCTTTCCATTTTCAACATGTTCCCAGTCTCCAATTTTAATTGCTCTTTGCAAAGATTTTTTGTACGGTTTTGTTCTCTCGTTTCAAAGAAAGATCCTGGTGTTTTATTATACATCTCTCTAAGGGCCTACTAGGCTGAGTGTGTGATTTGATAAATTGATAAATAAATGCCCTCTCTGCTGCTTTCCAGGAAAAGGATTCCAAAGCCCTCTTGAGATTTGAATTATGGGCAATATAGGCCACTCTACAGGGCCATCCTGATGCCACCTGGCATCCACCAACTTCCCTGCTCCATCCTACTAAATGTGCCTACCTGTGTAGCAAAAACCTGTGCATGCCCCCGACCCACCCATCCCACCCGCTGCATTGACATATACTGCATGATCTTCAGAACCTGCACCTCTGGGCGGCTACAGTTGCAGTCCTATACTCATGCACTCAGCAGCAAGCCTGATTGTTTCTAATGGAATCTACCCACACTGAACTCAGAGGGGATTTCTTCTGAGTAGACATATAAGTGCATAATTTATTCCTTTTTTTCTCGTCTTTAAGATGCTGACATTCTTTCGGTCCACTCAGAACTTCATATTAGTTGTTATCCTTTTTTTTTATTTTCATGATAATCCCATAGGGTTCGTTAGATACAGTGCCTTGACCAGTGTGTTGCAATCCTAACCAGGGACTTTAATCCTCTCAGTCTTCCTGTCCAAGAGCCAGATTGGATTTGCTCCAGGAAACCAGTGATCAGAATCCCCTGTACTCTTATTTGTTCACTTTTAACGGGTTGCACGAGCTGCTGATCGGGAAAGAAGCATTGGGGAAAGAAGGTGCTTTTTAAAATCATTGCCTCCGATACTTGTTTGTGTTTCAGATTTATTTCACAGAGTTCTCTCTGCAAAGGCTGCTATTTTTCCATCGTTCATTAATTCACAACGCTTTTTCATATCATAAAACATAATGCACAGCTTTATTCTGCTTTAATTAGGACATTGCCTGAAATACTGCCAGCTAGTGTAGTAAGTCACAACTAGAGTAGTCCATCGACTCAAAGGAACTCATAGAGGAGTTGAGTCACCAAATCTGCCCGGATACAATGGGTCTACTTTAGCTGCAGCTTGCTACTAGAGTCCAGCCACTGTTGCTGCTTAGGCTCTTCTTGATTAAAATCTACTGTAAAAAAATGTCCACAACTAGTTTAGCATTAATACATAGATAAGCAGACCTGTTATCTGCCTTACTGTTCCAATGCAGGAATAGGAGGTATTTTTAGGGAAAGCTACCCTGGAACTTCCAGACTTTGCTTTCTTACCTAACAGCCTAAATTTAGCATCCAGCACATCTCTCTGACATTTCACTGGTACCCCACACTTCTACAGGCCCCTTAGCTCTGATCCCTATAAGGCTGTCATAATATCTGAAGACACTGGCCAGCTTCATTACTTGGATGCAATCCTCATGGTGTTTCTCCCGGCCACCACAAACTAAGCTTTCCGCAATTTTTCCATGTTCCTATCCTGTAAGAGACTGTGTCCACTCCTCTCGGTTGTGAGAGGCTAATACACTGGCGGGCTATGTGGGTGCTGTGTACAGTGATGTTTCCTCCATTTGAACTTTTAAAAAAAGTCGCTGCCCAGTTTTCATGAGCATTACAAAAGCACAGGTAAGTTTCTCAGAATTTCCTCAGTGTCTAATGAGGTTCTCTGTTTTCATTTCATCTTCTGGATCACCTAGACTGAGTTCTATGTACAGTACTGTACTGTGTTTTGCCTTTGAAACACCACCAGATACTCAAAACAGCAGATACTGTCGATATGGATCTATGCAAAAATGAGCGATGACCACACAAGGCAGATAAATGTTGTAATCCGTTCTGCAGACTGAAAATTACTTAGACTACTGCCATTCTGAGCAGTTTAAAATTCAGTTTTAGACAGTTTTAGAATTAGAATATTATCTTCTCAAAAACATACTGTGTAGGACAATCTCATTCCTCTTATTTTTTTTAATGAGTGTGTACCAGAAAGATAGTAGATAATTAAATGGGAAGCTTGACATTCCATATTCAGCCTTATGTATCAAGTTGCCCTATAAGGGGGGGCAGCAGAATACCTGAGTATTCCTTTGGTCTCCAAGTAATTTCTGTTAAAGGAATTAAACAGATCCATTTGCTATCCAGAATCAAGGCTAAGCCTGTGAATGTATTTGAAAGTGAACTGCTGAGCTTGAAGTTATACATCCCAAATTATGTGTAAGGAATCCGGTAGCTTTATGTCAACCATCCAGCCACAGCAAAATAGGCAGGAGTTCTCTTACAGAAGGCACAGAAGTGGAATTTAGACATCCAGGGCACCAATTACTCCTTCATATTACAGTAGAACGAAAAATCAGCTGTTGGGACACCTAAATTCTGTTTTTGCCATCTGCTGTCCAGGCTCTGATTAGAAGCACAGAATTGCGGGCATTAAACTGAGAGGATTTGAGAAGTGTATCAATTACAAACAAGATTTTCCTTTCATTATCCTTAGATTTCAAGGGCAGAGGACAGCATTATTCTTGTCTCATAGAACAAATGCAAAATTTCTCCCAGTAATTCCTGATTCAAACCCAAGGGTTCAGACTAGGTTACATCTCCTCAATCCAAAATTATTACAGTATTTTTCAATCCACTGGGTGATGCTTAAGAGATGAGACCAAAAGTCTGACCTTTACTATTATCACTCAGCCTAAAGGAGGTCCCTATTGTTCAACAACAAAAGGCTAATGAAAGGCAACATTTCGCCTGTTCCATCTTTCCCTTCTTCACAGATTTTTGCATTTAAAACAAAGACAAACCTATGGCTAATTCAGGCAGGATTCAGGCAGGACTACTGTATGACTAAAACCTTGCTTGAAACCACTTTTGGATCTGAGTTATTTCTTGACTTTCAGCATTTCCTTTCCAGTCAAGTACAACAGTGAGGTGCAGAGGGCCTTTTGTTAGCTGTGTACCTGTAAGTCAGGGGCTGGAGGTGTGCCAGCCAAATACATGAAGTCTTTCACTGGATGCTGGCTGGATGTTCTTCTTATAGAAAAGAAGACCAGAAGTGGCAGGCAGAAGAGTGAAATACACCCGATTGCCTGGGAAATGGGAGGGAACTTCTGTTGTTCTACTATTGGGATAAGGTAGTCCAGAGGAATATGTGTGATATACAAAGGTAAGTCCAAGGGGGAAAGATCTGATCTATTTTGATATCGAGTCAGGCCAAGAAAGGAACAGAGAAGAGTTGGCAGCCTTCCAAACTGGCCTGGAGAGCAACATGCCAGAGCTTTGAGTAGATCACGTCAAGAAAAGGGGACTTAAGGGTTCAGGGTAACATGAATTGATCCCATCCCTGGCATCTCTGTGGGGCTTTGTTTCAGTGCTCAGTTTAATGGGTAGTTATTTCAATTAGGATGGTATGTACTCACCCTGAGGAGAAAAGTGATCCTAGGCACACAAGTCTACAGAGACAAGTGCTTCTTTCTACTACACCTGACTTCTCGCAGGGTCAAACTATAGGCTATTTAGAAACATAGCTAGGAGCAATGGCTTCTTTCTTTTTTACATACTATAGATGAAGCACTGGCAACCTGATCTGGATTTGGACCCTGACATGAAGGGAGGGGAGGAAGAAGAGAGTTTCAATCCGTTGCCCCTGCTGTAATCCCAAACAGGGGATGTGGTCCATGCAACATATTTTTTGCTTGCGGAAAAGTGCTCTGTTGACAAAAACGGACAGGCTTTGGGCAATCAAAATGACAATACAGGGCTCCACAATTTAGGTCAAAGAGCTAAAGCTACTCTACCATAAACATGAAGGTCCTGATCTAGTTTAGGCCTCTTCTTCCTACTCTGGAGTAAAAAAAAGAAAAGCCAGAGGAGTATATGGCTATGTACTTGATGTCTAGTTGGCCCTCAACCAACTTTGTCAGATACTCCTCTGTTCCACCAACAGGCAATCTGCTGTTGTGCAATGCAGACTTCAGACATTTTGTCCCTTTCCTTTCTCTCTTAAACTCCTCTGAGCTATCCATCCTGACCCATCGTTGCATGAAGAGACTCACCTTCGGCTCACATACACAGGGCACTCCACAGAGCCTTGCAGCAATGGGAACGGGGGGGTTGCCTTCTCTGGTCCTTGGGTCGGAGGGTGTTGCAGAAGGCTCAATAGCTCTTGAACCTCAGGGTATCCAGGGCCCACACGCTCCCTGCTCAGGGTCTGCACAGCACAAAGTGCTGATGTGGAGTGCTGCGAATTTGACTCTTGGAGACTTTGCTCACACAGGCATCCTGGAGTTATTAATAGTCAATGGGATCTCAGAGTCCAAGGGTCTCAGATAGCACCAGCCCAGGCAAGACTGGTGGAAGGGGGGGAGAATGCTCCTCAGCACTCTCACAGCAGCTACCTTAACCTGGGGCCAAGTGCCAAGAAAGAACCAGCTCAGTATCACTCTCTCGTTCAACAGACACCTAATGGTGGTCCCTTATCTGTGAAAGCTTCCCAGCCAGATATAAGTTATTTGGGTTCTGTGTGCTCAAATCGTGCGTGCTAATACTACCCTAGGCCAGTGAGGAGCAGTGGTGTCAGGGCATGCCGTATGAGAGACGTTTAAAGTTGTGTGAGATAAATGGGCACAGAAAGGTTCCGAGTGTATGAGGAAAGCAGAGGAGGAGGATTAGCATAATGAACATCTCATAGTCACGCCATCTGTTGCTTACTTTGTCGCCAAAAGGATACTGATGTAGCTTGTGTGTGAAGTAAGAAGAAAACAGACAGTTTACGTTTCAGTTTGCATACCTTTTCCTATTTTTGTTTTTAAAATTATCTTAAACTACATACCTCTTCACAGCGAGAGCATCTTAAATGTATGTTTTCTGTAGGAAAGAAAGAGATGCTGAGAGATACTAGACAGGTGGGGCAGAAGTGCCAAAGTCATAATGGTGTGGAGCTGAAAGTGAGATGCAGTCATATAGATGCCATGCCTTTAGTCAGGGATAGGCAGAAGGATATGTCAGTTTTGACTTTTCCTGTCTTTTCATTCTGAAACCTCGGGTTCTTTCTGCCCCAGAGATGTGACTAGCAAATACTGTTGAATTCTTAAAAACAAACAAACAAACAAAAACAAACAAACTGAACTTAACTTTTTAATCCTTCCGCACTAGCCAAAAGTGGTAGGTACTGCTTTTCCCAGCATGGATAAAAAACTGTGTTGTAGATGCTTGCTACAGTGGTGTTAAAGATGAAGAGCTTCTCAGGATTAGGGGTGGGGTGGGGAGTGATCATCCTAATTCAGTATAAACATGATTGAATAAACAGAAATTCAAACACAGATTTTGAAGAATCCAATACTCAGACTCATGGCCCTGGATAGAGGAAATGGCTCAGTCTTGGTTTCTCCCACATTCATAAAAAAATTAAAACTCTTAAGGTTGTTCATTTCAAATTTAAGAAATTTCTATGTTTCGGAAAATTCATATTAAAACCAAACTGAAACAAAATTCTCCTTAATTTTTAGTCTTTAGGATCAAAGGCAATTCCACTCAGTATCACCAAGGCAGACCAATGGCACCCCCTGATCTAGAAGAATCACAGAATGGTCTGTGGGAATAGGGTGTAATCAACTGTGAGACAGGGCAGAAGAAGTTTCTGACAGGTCAAGGTCAGGCTGGGAGTTTGCCCGACCAAAAAAAGTGTCTCGTGTCATGCTTGACTGCAAAGTTTTGTTCTTGACTCTCAAGCCCAGTTCTTTACCCTACAGCTCCTTCAGTGGTGACCATGGACTAGCTCTGAATGCATGAGTAAGGGTGAAGCTACCTTTGGAGCATGCTCCTTACTGTTTATTTCATATACAAAATTTATATCTAAACCGTAATTTTGCACAGTTTATTATGTTTAAATCTGATGGTCTTTAATTCTCTTTGAAAAAACGAGTATGTTTTAGCTCGTTGCAGTTCTCTGATATGGTAGTATTACAGTTACCATGAAAAAAACTGAAGAAGAAATTGTGAAAATCTAATTGTTTGGAAATGAATGAATGTTTGGAATATTCATTATATTCTGAAGTCAGGAACAAGAGTGATTGATGCACCATTGTTAAAAGAAGGGCCATCTTTATTTGCCTTAAGAACACTTGATTCTGATGGAATGTGATACAGAAAATGGTGCCAGCCTTTCCAGTTGTGAGGCTGGTTTTTGCCTCACAACTGTTCTTGCCTCCACCCCACCCCTCACCCAACTATGGCTCTGTGGAAGTCCTCTTGGTTTACATTGCAGAAGAGTCACATTCATGTCCCTAACATCATTTTCTGAGTTCAGCTTCTAGCTTCCCTCTTTATGAAAGGTGATATGGTAACTCTCTGCCCTGCATATGAATCTGTGTTCTGCTCTGTCCAGCAGAGGCTATTTTCACTCTCCTTGTCTATATATACAAATCTCAAGGGAACGTACGTTATAGACCTTGTGCATGCTGGTTAAGTCTACAGCACTTAGTGCATTGTGTGTATGTGTGTGTGTATTTGTTTCAGGTTACAGAACATGCCTAATTATTAGCGATACTGGATTTGACGCAACTGGCAAAATGGCTTTACAAAAAGGTACGCAGGGCACAATTCTTGACTCCTCCTTGTACATCTAAAGACATATATTGGCACACCCGGTCCTAGTCATCTGTGTCAGCTTACATTCTAGCAGGATCTAATTAAGGTCACGGCCAACAAAGCGACAGTGGTTGTCAGTGAATCTTATCCTGAGCATATAGCTCCTGATGCTGTTTGTTCCTGGAACAGTCCTTAAGCCCATCAGCTGAGCATTTTAAAAGGAAGTTCTCAGGAACAAAGGAAAAGAGTGTATTTACACACAAACAGCTTGGTTTGATACGGAATAGTTTGATATTTTGTATTTACACACAAATAGCACAGTTTGATATAGGAGAATAGTCTGATATTCTTACCGCTTAAGTTAATGTTTAAGTATATTGGTGCGACAGAATAATGGCTGATCTTAATGCACAGATGATGTATTGGACCTGCAGGATTTAAAGCTACAGCTGTCAAGCTCTGAATTTTGTCAAGAGGATATGTGAATATTAAGAGAATGCCATCTGAATTATGTATTGTACTTATGCCCTATCTTTTTCTCCATGCAGGATAAGACATTTGTTACTATTTTTTAAATATAACAGAATATGTATTTCACATCCTCTGAATGTGCAATCCACTGGAGCAGGAGGGAAAACAAAGGAATTTGATCAAACAACTGCAAAACGCTCCAATAATTGGCAGGATAACAGAAGACTCTGACACTGATCCAAGGCACTGCTGGCAAGACATCTTGGTAGGGAAACAAGAAAGCAGGTGTGCTTAAATATGCAAAGGAATGAATTTCTACAGGGAATGTGTCCTATGAGTTTTCTCCTGAGTTTTTAATAAGTTGTGTTATTAATACAAAGGCTGTCACTTCATTCATTCTCAGTGATTTATCAACGAACTACTATAGAAATTTTACTTATTTGATGAATGGTTGGTCTTCACAACTTCCAAACACCAATGAATTAGTAGCTGCTCAAAAAGATGTAATAAATATTTGCTTTGTATTATATACCATGGCTTAGTTTATATCTATATTGTTCAGAGCAAGAAAGGAACTGTTAATTATGACTAAGGACTAAGAATTCAATCAATTAGCTAGTCCAATTAGAGTTGTATCAGAAGCATTCCACATTTGCATTCTTCGGGGAGGCTCCTTCTGTGTTCCTCAGTAGACTCACTGAATCTGTGGGAATTATCTATGCATTAACTTAATAATAATAAGTCCTATTCATACATTGCACCCACCTTAATTGGAACTAACAACAAATTCAGCTTTATGAGTGTAGAACATAATGAATTGTTTAAGCATTATTAGCATATGGCATGGAATCATGAACTTTATCATGAGCTATTGTAAGAAAGTTAGGAATATTTGAAATTTATTACAGGCTGCTAAAGATTTCCAGGACTGAAAAGGTGACCAATGAAGAAGCACTACATGGAGTGAATACGTGAATTACATGTAGTTGCACTCTTTATCAGTGCAAACAGAAGGCAGGGGAAAAGGAGTAGGGTTTACTCCCTTGCCAAAACTCCCCTCTGCACATCATCAACGTTGCCACCAGGACCTGCTCAGAAACTGTCTCAAAGGACTGACAAAAGCCAAAAGCAGGGCAAAATAATGCTACTGGACATGCTACCAAAACAACAACAAAAACCCAAACAAAACAAAAAGCTGTGCAACCAAGCAAAGTATACCACATATTCATGTTGAAAGATTGGATCTATTTGTGGTTAGCATTAACATTGTCTAGTCAACATAGTAAACATCAAAAGCAACACTGAGGAACATAGCATAAACAGCTACCCATTTAATCGCTACCCCTAAATACCCATTTAGTCGCTACCAGATAACAAATTTTATTTATTTATTTTAAATAATGTTTATTAGTATAACAAAATATAACAAAAATGTAAATGACAAATAGAACCATAACTCAAATATATTACTCACCACCATTGGGAATATAAATTTATAGATACGTATTCTCATCAATATGTTTCATCTTAATGATTCTTGTGCTGGGGTATAACCTTCATGTTTTGTAAATACATATTCTATACAGGGTTCCAGATCCCATTAAAACTATGTTCTTTCAATAATTCTTTTCTAAATTTCAATTCACAAGTTAATTTATTGTGTATAGCCAGATTCCCCATCTCTATACCATTCTACCAATATAAATTGATTATTATTATTTCCAATTCCGTGCAAATATCAATCTAGATGTTGTTAACACAATAACAATTAGTTCAATTTTTACCCTATCTAAATGACTGTTTTGAAATATATTTAACAATGCTAACATTGGACATCTTTGTATATCTGTCCCGATAATTCCTTTAGTCTCATTAAATATAATCATCCATTCCTTCTGTCTCTCTTCACATGCCCATCACATATGATAATATGTTCCACTTTCTTTTTTACATCTCCAACATAAAGATTATAACTCCTTAATCAATGTATTCACTTTCATTGGTGTTAAATACCATCTCCACATTACTTCATAACAGTTTCCCTTTACCCTTACTGACATATTTTTCATTATTCTTTTCCCCCAATTTCCTTCCATACGTCTTCATTAATTTCTTTATTTAAATCTCCTTGCCATATCTCTTTCAGAACTATCATTTTATATTTGTCCTCTACTTACACCTTATATATTACACTTATCCCTTTTCTTTGAATATT